TTTAAAATATTTAAAGATTTTTTTAGATAATTTTAAAGGCACATTCTTATATGAATTTAGTGTATTTAATAAAATTTAATTTTTTTAAGTATTAACCCTAATACTTGAATTTTATATTTAATATACAAAATGATACTTATTAGTAAATTTAATCTTAAAATTATAATAAAACATGCTATGTAAAGAGGAGTACTATAAAAAAAAAATTATAACTTGAAAATCATTCAGATTTAAGAGTATTCATGAGAGTATTTAAAGAAATTTTTTAAATTGAAGTTATCAGACAATAATAGCACTCTCGTAAACTTCCACTGCAATAAGCTGGATCTACCACATGCTAACCCTCACACTTGCCAAGAGGGATTAAAACTGCACAATGGCAAAGATATTACCTACACAAAAGAAGAGTCATAGTTCTAATAGTAATCCAAGTTAGACAAATTAGCCAAGCGAATGAAAATTAAAAAAAAAAACAAAGGAAAAAAAGAAACAAAAGAATAATTGAAAAATATCCTTCAAGCCAGTAGTCTTTTCACTGGTAGAATATGACAAAAGAGGCTATATATATTCAGTTCATGCAATCTTAAATTCATGGTATTGGTAAAAATACTGAAACTTTAACTTTATTTGGGATAGCAATTCGATATTTCTGTATGTTGATTTTGAGTAGTTTAATTAAGAAGAATGCCTTAGACACTAAGACTAAAGTGATATTTATCTAGGAAAAATGTTAGTTTTAAGTGATAATTGTCCATGGGAAACCTCTTGATATCATATTATTGAGGAATGTCTCTTTAACTCCTATTTGCCCTAGAAACCAAGGCTAAAGCAAAGTGGAAAAATGGTACAGCTCCTGCCTATTTCACAGCTTCAAGGGAAATGGGACCCTAAAAACACCATGACTTGATATCTTAAATAGCCTATGGCCTCATTATAAAATATATGTTCTCTGTTGATAGTGGCCAAGGAGTCTGGTCCAACTTCCCAGGTGGATACCCAACCACCATACAGATACTGATTTAGATTTAACATGCTTCAATTTGTGTGGCTTACAGAATTTCTTCCAAGTTCCCTCTCCTGTCTTATCATTGTTATATAATGAATGGCGTGAACATGAACATTTGATTAGATTTTTGATTTGATGCAATGTTTGGAGCATTTTGAATTCATAGATTTCTAGAATTTCATTAGGGATAGAGTTCTAGGTACGCTTACATGGAGTCCTTCTCTTGGTTAGTCAGTCTCTTCCTCCTCTATCATTCTTCTTCATCATTGTCCTCTTCCTGTAAAGAAAAATGATTTGAAGCAGTGAGAATAGAGGATTAGAGAGGAATGATATCTGAATTCATTGAACCCTTGTTTGGAATTGTAGAAGGTTTGGTGGGTTGCATTTAGCTACCAATGCTTTAAATTCAAAAGAGTAGAAACAAGATCTCTAGGTGAAGCATCAAGAAAAATTTTTATTTTTTGATCTTCTGGAGACAAAATAGTGCTAGTCTCCATAGTTTTTGTTTCTGAACTATCTGAAATTTCGTAACAGAATCAGAATTTGAATTTCAACCAATGGCAGAAGAGGCTCAAGAATTCAACGGGACGAAGATGGCTTACCAGTTGGCTAATTTGACTTCCATGTATGCTCTTGTATCTATCTTGTGTCCTAAAACTTTTTTGATACTTCTGTTTATATACGTATGTTGATGCAAGTTTTGATATATGCAGGCACAATCGTGATATTCAAGAGCTGGTATGGGAAAATGGTCAAGTTCTCCTTCGAGGCCTGTCGAAAATAACTCAAAAGAATCCTCACCAGACTGCAGATTCTGTCTCAGGAAACTCTTTGGGCCTCTCCCAGTTGACTAACTCAGATCACCGAGATAAGTTTGGCTCTTCTCATCGTAACCGTATGCACAACAATTCTCTGCAAGATAAGTACCAGGAACTATCATCAAAATTATATCATAACAACTTCAATGTCATTTTAGAACATCAGAGAAGTTGTTACTCTAAGCAATTCATGGATTCCCAAGTTGTTCCAGCACAAAAATTTGCAAATTATAAACATGATAGAGGTTGCTATGATGAGCAACCCGTAGATTCTCAAGTTGTTCCATTTGCAAATTACAAACAGGATTATGCATCAAAGTTTGTAGAGAGGATTCCTCAATACAAGACAAAGAGCAATAGTCAGGTACCTCAGTCCTCCTTACAGCAGTGCCAAGATTCAGCTCCTTCTAAGAAATCACTTGTGAACTCTAACCAGACTGCGGTGTCACTGGGGGGACGGCGGCAGTTAAACTTTGAGGAGCAGAATTCAGGAAATATTGACAAGGGAGTAAGAGGAAATGTTTCCTTCTTATTCAAATCTCCAGGTCTTCTAAAGGATGAGAATCCAAGCCGCTGTGCAGTAAGACCGATAAGCAGTCCAGGTTTATCAGGAGACAAGGATTTAAAAGCTCCAAGAAATAGCATTCCTGTCAACTCAATTCCTGATGATGGGGCAAAAAGCGTGAGAAATTTTCAAAATGAACCACATTCATTGCCAACCAAACTGAAGCCAACGCAGTCTGATCCTGAGCCTCCAAATGAGTCAGTTCCTGATGAACAATCTGCAGCCATTGGCCATGGAGAAGATCCCGCAAATAAGAGGTCCCCTAATCAGGTTCATGGCTCATCCTTGGGATTAACACCAAAAACATCCAAGGAAAATCCTGCAGATAGAGAATGTAATCAGCAGCTGGTTGCCTCATCTTCAATTTGCTCCCTTGAAGCTTCAAATAATCCAGAACACAGTTTGAAGAGGAAACATGATGACACTGAATGGTCAGCAGACATAAGTGAGGTATGAAAATTTGTCTAACTCACCTGTAGGCTATCGCTTCTGATTTCCTTTCTCCTTAAGCCAAAGATGCTTATATTTGGTGCAGAATGGATCTGAAGAACTGGATGGTAAAATGAAAACAGTGCCTGCTCAAGGAACCAAAGGTACCAAGAGAAACCGAAATGCAAATGTTCACAATCTATCTGAAAAGGTCAGTCATTCCAACCAATGACTAAAGCAAAAAAAAAAAAAAAAAGAACAAAAAAGCAAAAAAAACCAAATTGCCCCTTCGAAAGGTTTGAAACAGAAAAGAAGAGATAAAATAAACAAGAAGATGCGTGCATTGCAAGAGCTCATACCCAGTTGCATCAAGGTTAGACCCTGCACTTAATTTACTATAATAAAACCAATTGTTTTCAACATCTTTTGTGTCAACCAGCAACTCCAAACCCCAGTCCCATGCGTGTCATCCAAACTCGCTATCAAATGTCATTGCCCTGTCTTGATTATTACTGCTACATGTGATTCTAAGGTGGATAAAACTGCAATGCTTGATGTGGCAATTGAGTATATAAAGACGCTTCAACTTCAAGTACAGGTATCAATTCTTATTCTTCAATGTAAGTTATTGGTACCACAGAAATCAAATCAGACTCTTAACAATGGTATACTTTTGAGGCAGATGATGTCAATGGCAAGTAGCATTTATATGCCCCCACTGATGTTACCAACGACAATGCAACATATAAACACACCACATTTGGCCGGTATGGATATGAGAATGCAGATGCCTCCTGGCTTCTACCCAGTTCAGTTCCCAGCTTCATCAATTTCAGGAGCCACAGCTCCAGCTGGGGTCACAGAAGCTAGACCAAACATGCTGAGATGCCCTGGTCAATTTCAACCAATGTCTATTTCACCTTCACCTTTTGTATCTTTTCCTGGAAGGTCTTCCAGCCAATCAGTCCCAACAGTTGATACTTGTCAAGTTGCTGCTCCAATGGAACTTCAGTGTTCTGCTCCCCCTTCTCTTGAGAAGAAGTCAGAATTGAAGAAACCGTGCCAAAAAGGTAAGCAATACAATCACTGATTGCTCAAAGACCCATACATCTGATCAGATGTGTGCATTTTCTTAGACATTGCATGCATTGCATTTGGTTCAACATAGAACTTTTAAGTGGCAAACTATTTATTAGCATGTCCATTTTACCTTTTTTCAATTCATTTTAATCCAGTATTATGCATTGACTGTCTCCAGGAAGAAACAGAAAATCTAAAAGAATCAACGAGGTGCAGAAGAATGATTGATAACTAGAGCAGAGCCATTGCCTGAGACAAACTGTACAAGTAACAGAACAAGTAAGTTCATAAAATATACGGATAGACAAGGTGTTTTCATGATTATCAATTTAAATACAAGCTTGTGGTTTCTTTTTTTCTTTTTCTTTTTCCCCTTTTTTCGAAAGGTAAGGATTATATTATAAAATAAATAGCATCCATACATCCAAGTTGTACGCATCCTATCAAGAGAAGCTATCCTATAGCACTAGTTACAGAGGAATTTATGTCCATAGCAAATGAGTCAATTAAGGTAAAGAGGACCCGACTGTATCTAGAGATTGTAAGACCAATTGCTATAAGAGACATTAACAGAGTTAAGGGAGACATTAACAACGTTTCTAATGACCCTAAAAGTTTGTGGTTTCTAAATAAATAAGAAAATCTAACAAATCCAAACCTACCTGGCTTAAAATCATTCATTGAACAGGAGGATGCATCAGTAACTTCTCAAGAGAAACCCGCTGCTTTCTCATGATTACTTGTTCAAGACTTGAATGCAAAGATTGTAAGATGGATTATTACACAGTTGGGAAATGAGAAGATCCATTTATATTAGTCCCCCACTCTCAAACATGAAGATGTTAAAGCTGTGCCAATTATATCAGATTCCCCTGCAGAACCATTAAGCAACAACAAGCATCCTTTTTATCAATCACGTCAGTGCAGAAGCCAGAAAAGCAGTTACTGATGAGGCATTCAAATTTTAGTCCAGTTGAGTTCTCCGAAGGTTGTTGCCCTTTCGTGTCAGTATCAATGTACTATGAATATAAAACTATCCTTGTAGAAGTTGAAACATCTTTCTTACAAGATAGCTATTTCAGTTAACACCTTGTATGATTGTTGATAGAATTTGAATTTTCCGACTAGATATACTGTTGGAACACATTTATGGACAACATAAGACTCTTGCATTAGGTTTCTGACAAGTTAGAGGTCACAGATATCACTGCTATGCCCAAAAAGAAAAAGAAAAAGTAGAAAAAAAAAAAAAAAAAGGAAAGAAAGAAGGAAGAAAAAAAAAGAAAAGAAGAAGAAGGAGGACACAGATATCACTGGAAAAGAAACGAGAAATATTGTTAACAGGGTAAAATCTGTAGTCTCTAACCATCAATGGAACATAACACTGATTCACTGACAGAGTAAAATTAAAAAATTGAATTGACTGAACCCATCACCTTGGTTTAGTTCATGTTTTAGAAAATCCTTCTCAGGTGTAGATTATTCACCTCAGAGACTACAAGGTTGATGCTCCATGCATCTGATGTTCTGGTGCCAATTGAATTATGAAGATTTTTGGCTAACATCAACATATTAGCCTGTCAACACGAAACTTAAGATCATCTGATAAGAAACCTGAATCTGTAGATATCGTTCGCCCCTCATTATAGCAAGCTGTCCAAAACCTCTTGAATCTTATCCAACTTTAACATCTAGTATGTAACATGTGAATGCTCTAACCTAGTTGAATCCAGCTACTTCCAGGTTTCCTTGCTAGGTCCTTCTCCTTTATCATTTTTCTGATCTTTAGTGCATCCCTCCATCTCCCAGTGGAAGCATAAACATTAGACAACAGAACATAATGGCCTGTATCCTTCTGGTTTTGCTTTAAGATATGCTTCTCTACAAGTTCAGCCAACTCAACCTTATTATGAACCCCGCAAGCAGCAAGTAAGCTTCCCCAAACATTAATCTCTGGTTCCACTGGCATCCTTCTGACAATATCATATGCGTCATCAACTTGTCCTGCTCTACCAAGAAGATCCACGATACAAGAGTAGTGTTCCATGTCTGGCTGAATGTGGTAATCATATATCATGGAATTATATAAGGACCAACCTCTGTCAACTAGACCTGCATGACTGCAAGCAGTCAAGAGAGCAATAAATGTGACTTTATTCGGTCTAATTCTTTCCTCCTCCATTTGCTCAAAGAATGAAAAAACACGTTCACCAAGTCCATAAATCCCATGAGCAGAAATTATTGTGTTATATGTGACAATATTCTTTTCCGTCATTTGATTAAAAACATTTATCCCAAGTTCAAGATAACCACATTTGCAGTACATATCTATCAGTGAATTTCCAATAGAGACTGCCATTCCCAGACTGCTTCTAATGGTGAAGCCATGAATTTCTTTGCCATGTCTGAGTGTTCCAATTCTGGTGCAGATGGGAAGAATGCTCAACAAGGTTATGGAATTTGGTGTGAGATTAAAATCCCAAATTTTCTGAAAGATCCAAAATGCCGGGTCAACTTCATTGTTCAAAGAAAATCCTACAATCATTGAATTCCATATCATGATATCCATGTATAACATGATCCCAAAAATGTGCTCTGCTTCTCTCATCGACCCACAGCTAGCATACATATCAATCAGTGCACTACCCAGAACAACATCAGACTCAAATCCTTGTTTCAGGATATAATTGTGCATCTCCTTTCCCTGCTTCAACATTCTGAGCTTAGCTAATCCTGTAAGAACACTAGCGGCAACAGTGGCATCAGGTCTTACATCTGCACTGATCATACTATGATAAAGTTGAACACTCTCATGGTATTGGCAATTCTGCGAGTAACCAGCAATCAAGGTATTCCAAGAAACAACATCCTTATTCTCCATCCTCCAGAAGATACAGTAGGCATTATGGGTGTCACTACATTTACAATACATATCCATCAAAGCATTGGAAACATACAAATCCCTCTCAAAACCACTCCTTACAGAACAGCCATGAAGGGCCATTCCTATTTGCTTAGCTTCCAATCTAGCACATGCTGGAAGAACAGCTGCCACAATAACTGCATCAGGCCATAGCTCTTCAAATTTCATCCTCTTAAACAGAGTTAACGCCTCAGACCACTCTCCACCCTGCACACTCCCGCTTATCATTGCACTCCAACATGCCAAGTCTTTCTTGGGAATTTCTTCGAACACCTTCCGAGCTTCAGTTAAACAACCACACTTGGCAAACATATCTATCATAGCGCACTCAACATATACATTGCGCTTTAGATCTTGGCGACACTCATTCACTAGAATCGAATCTCTAATTCTCTTCCCTTCTTCCACATCACCCAACCCAGCACAAGCCTTCAAAACCAGCGGGTATGTATAATTGTCAGGAGCTCCCCCTTGATTAAGCATCAACTTATAGAACTCGATTGCTTTCGAGAACTGACCCACATCAAGGAACCCTCTAAGTATTGCATTCCAAGCGATATTACTCTTCTGAGGCATATTATCGAACAGTTGACGTGCTTCATAAAAACAGCCATGTCTGACATAAACATGGACGAGCTGCGATCCCAGGGCTTTATCTGTATTGGAAGAGTCCAAGAACCCATGGATAATCAAAAGAGCATGTAATCTTTTGGCTTCGGAAAGATGCGTTGGCGATTTAAGTTGAGAGTATAGGTAACAGCGCAAAGTATTACGATCACTGAAGAAAGAACTTGAAGAAGGAGAATTCTTTGAAGATATGGGAAGTGGGTTTTCTTCATTAGGGTTTGGGTTAGGGATAACGGTTGAAAGGGGTCGCTGGAGAAGTGCTGGTACTGGTTGTATTATTTGTTGTTTGAGAACCGTGGTGGCTATTCTAGTCTCTGTCGGCATTATGCATCAGATTTCATGGAAATGGCATGGCATTGATCATCTTATAGTTTATACTGTAGGGTCATCTTTCCAGGAAAATGCAAAAAATGAACAGGCATAAGCATATACAGATTCTGGATTACAAACAGTCATCAAATTATTGACAATTTTATCAATTTAATAATACAATCATGCAGCTTCAAGAATGAGATTTTTTGAATCCTTTTTCCGAACTGGTGCTGTGGAGTCCTGACTTGTTGAATCAATGTGTGGAGTATCCAGCTTGAGGCTTGACAAAGCATCGCTAAGTAAATCAGCAGATTCTGCTGCATTATTATTACTAGTCTCAGGGCTCAGATCTTGAACGTTTTCCCTTCCAACTTCCAATTCTAGTTTCTGGAATTCCTCTTCAATATCTTCATCGTCAATGCCAAGGTATGGAGCAGATTCTGCAGCATCAACCAGCAATGCTAGTTAGATGCTAGAACTAAGCATGTAACATCCAGACAACACAAAGACTTAACCGAAATCAATCAAATTGGTTAAGATTACAAAGAAAAGAGATTGGGTGCATAAATACCTAGAGCCTTTTCAGCTAGCTTTTGTGACTCAATGCTTTCATCAAGTTCTTCTAAACAGTTTTGCACTTCCTCCACACTGATCTTGTTTTCCTTCATTGCTTGAGCCCCAATTTGGATTGCTTCAGAAACCTGGCATAAGAGGACATGGGAACAGCTTGATTGTCAAAAACCAGAACAAGACAAGACACCACAAATCTTTGTGTCTTTATAATCATGGAAAACTTGAGGTGCAGCTGCTAACCTTTTTGGTTGATTCAGCATCTGCAATAACACGTAAGACTTCCTCCACTCTGTTTAAAAGCAATGAACATTTTTCTCTACTCTCGTTACTTAACTTAATTTCTCTTGCATGCCTCAGGGCCACTTTCTTGTTTCCAGATTTCAGTGAAGCCAATGCAGATTTTCTTGACCTGTAATGAAGCTCATCATAAGACTAGTGAATTCAGACACACTATATTGGCTATAATAACGGCACCTGGTTGTGAAAACTTAAGGGCATATAAAAATGATAATTTGATTTTCAATTATCTTCCAACTATCTATGATTTAAACAGAAATTACATTTCCCAACGCTGGTCAATGACATTTAGCTGTTGCTGAAGCTTTTCTTGTGTCCAAATCAAGTGCAGAACATCACAATCTAAACTCGAGATGCTGGAAACTGCTGCAGCAGTCAGGGAAACTTTCACACCCTGCAAAAAAGGCAATTTAATTACTGAACCTAAAGGAAGCATGCCATGACATGTGAATAAAATACCACACAAGCAAGGTCAATAACTGCAGATAGGCTTCAGTGGAACTAAATGAGCTATTCAGATAGATGAAGTCAGAAACTTATAGTGACCTCAAAAATATTTTTGACAAAAATTTGGAATTTCATCACTTCTCCAGGATTTTTATTCTGCAATTTATTATTATGCAACTAAGATTCCATTTTCCAGAACAAACTAGCCAAAAGTAGCATGTCTCAGAGTTCAGCCAGACAGAGTATGTAATACCTCAATCAATTCTTTCTTGCTAGTTGACAGATATTGTGCCTTCCCACATCCTGATAAATCACTCAAAACTGCAGATGCTTCCACTGGGCCTCCACACATACTCTCCAGCTTCTTCATGGTGACAATACACGATGATGTCCAATGTCTTTCAGACAATAGCTTGACAACTTCTTCAGCCTTCTCCTGGAATCAAGAAACTAACTTCTCAGTAAAGCCTCAAAGAGTCATATCGTCTGTCACAACTTACAAGTTATAACATCACCAACCTTCAACAGTGCTGTAAGAATGAGTTGATCTTCAAGAATGGCTTCGGGAGTCATCCTTGATCTAGTCATCAAAATTTTCACTTTCCTAAACAACTGAGTGAGTCTCCCACTAGAAGGATCAGGAAGATCCTCAATTCGCATCAAATTGCCTTCATTATACATCACAAGCTGAAAATTTGATAAACAGTAAAACCCAAAAACCCTAAACAAAAAAAGCAACAATTTTGTGAAACATACAAGCTTTGGCTCACCAGAACATCATCAAGGCACAACGGAGCCAGTCCTCCTCGATTAAACCACTCGTTCTTCACCTTTCCATAAGAAATTACCCCCCCAAAAAAAATAAACAATCTGGTTTCCCTCAGTTTCAGTTATGAAAACCCAAAATGCAAAATTAGAGTGAATATAAATGAAATTTGGAACCTGAGAAGGTCGAATCATGAAGAAGCCAAAGTGACGCGAGATTCTGAGGATCAAATCTCTCCAGAATTGGAATTTGGGTTCCCAATCGAATCTTTGGCCGCTAAACGCCTTGAACCTGGCCGTGGCCGTCACTTCGTCGTCCCAATCCGGTACTTCCTTCCTTAAGAATTCCCTCATAGACGAAGAATCCATTTTCCAAGCTGCAGCGGCGGAAACCGACCGGATTCTTCGTCAGCGATTTAGTTCCGTCAGATTCAGACAGGAATTCCCGCCCAATGATTGTGTTTCTGAGAAGCCACGGCTTTGGGAGACCTGAGAAGGAGAAAACCGAATTTTCAAACCAAGAAATTTATTTTAAAAAATAAAAAATAATAATTGTAAATTTGGGCCTTTGGGCTCGTTAATTGCTCCGATCAGGGTTAATGAACTCATTTTGTAGTTGGTAGTATACTAGTATTGTATATCTTAGCCCGTTATCTGTTTTGGGCCATTACCAAGCCCATTAAATATCTGACTTCTTTCTTTTTTATTTTTATT